ATCTATCCAACCCGAAAATTCGGGTTGGTCCAAAAAAGTCCCCTAACCCGACCCAACCCAACCCGTGAACACCCCTCAGATTGAGTCTATGTTTGTTGAACCAAATGCAGGAGTAGGTAAAACTTTAGTTATGTAACAAGTGCACGTAAATTAGGGGTGAGCAAAAAATATAAAAAATTCGATTTGATCGACCAAAACCGACCAAATCCACGTCGGTTGATCAGTTTGGAAAAATCGATTTTTGATCGGTCGGTTTGGTCGAAAAAATGATTTTCGACCGACCAATGTTCATGCCCGTATTAAATGCAGCAGACTGCATTAAATGCAGTTTACAATGACATTAAAAGGCCGCTAGCCAAGCAATGAAACCGGCGACCCATTTAATAGCTGCTGGTTTTAAGGTCGTTTGGGTCCTTTTTTTTTAATCTATTATTATCAAACAATAATTTTGTTTTTCTCCTTCAATCCTATTCTTTCTTTTTCTCTTTCTCTCTCCCCTCATATTCTTTTCTTTCATCTCATATCTCACATGCACACCAACTCCTCCTTCCTCATCTTCTTCTCTCATCTTCTAAATCCTCGATTCGCACAGCAGGCCCTCCCACGGCTCCACACTCAACAATCACCCATAGTACCTTCAACTCCGACATTGGCCCTCACGATCAACCATGGGTTCTCCTTCGCAATGTTGTAGCTCAACATAAGGAAAAAAGGCTATTATGAAAATCGACAAAACCGATTGACCGAACCGACTGATCGATCGGTCAGTGCAAGCTGTCATCTCTGAGAAGTCGGTTTTCTTAGGTCGATTTTCAGCACCGGGGTTTTCCAAAAATCGACCCCGGCCGACTGATGCTCACCTCTAATGCAAATGCATAATACAACTACATAAATCAAAATCTACATAAATTTGACAATGATTCATAGGGGATAAAAACATACTATTTATTCAAAATACAAAGAATAAAATATGCAAACATTATGCTTAGCTAAAGGCTCATAGCTCCGACTTCCCTTTGAGGCAAAAACAATTAACTCATAACATAAGGAAATAAGGAAAAAAATAAAAGAGTAAAAGAGAACAATTCAACATTGATCAAATAAATAAGAGTTTATCACATTTATATCCTCTAAAGTCAAAGATGCTTCAAAGTAAGAAAAGACAACAAAAAGATTAAATACTCTAACTAATAACATTACGGATTAGAATGAGGTTTCATATATAACTTCCACAAACATGATTTTAGGCACTAAAAATTATTGGTTTCTTCTAAGTTTTGAGATTGTCAATATTTTTTTTTTCCCTGATAGACTATTAAATCATGAAATTTTGTACCATAGCATTATTTACTTTCAATTAATTTGTATTTATTTTCATCTTTTATGTCTTTTGTTTTCTCTTGTAATGGCTGGTGTCCTTATGAATCTGTTGTGTTGTCCTTTAAATACTGTTCATTGCCTAATTTTTCAAATTAGGATTTTTCACCAATATAGAATGTTTTATTTTCAGACTATTATTCCATTTCCTCTCTAGAATTTTGATGGTATCAGATATTGGTTCAATAATATGACATAATTCCTTCTCGGACTCCTCTCCTGATCTTAGTGTGGGTTGTTCATTCTCAGCCCCTTTATCAATTGGAATCACTAGACCCACAAATGCTAACGTACGATTGCCGTCGACACTCATTACTACCAGACTGCCTCCACTGCTGACGATGTTTCCTCCTACTCCTCTGCCATTTACTAGTGTTTCGCGTCCGCAGTTCAATATATTCCAACAACCGTCTATGCCTTTATTTCCTGCTCCAGCTCCAATGTTCATGCCCGTATTCTTCCTGAACGTGTCTCACTCCCTCACAGTGAAACTCACATATTCAAGCTGTTTATTGTGGAAAAACCAGCTTCTAAATGTGTATTATGCTTATGGACTTGTGAGATTTATTAATGGCACTATTCCTGCTCCACCATAATCTCTTGACAATATTCCTCATCAGGTAAACCCCGATTTTCTCATTCGACAATATATGTAATAGAACGGTGATGTTGTGGCTGTATTCCTCCCTTATAAAGGAAAAAATGGGTGAGATAATTTCGTTTTCTATTCCCTTTGACATTTGGGAATCATTATGAAAAGCATATGAATCTACTTCTACAACTAGGATGCTCAGTCTTGAGTCATAAATTCAGCAAGTTAAAAAGGATGGTCTGTCTTGATGGAACTCTTAGACATGCACAGCGGAAGCTAAGGATCATAATACACTTAATGAAACAATTTAACTAAAATAAGCATGCTTGGAAAAATGATGAAAAAGGTAAAGAGAAAAATATTAACTTTATACCTTTGAAGACCTCCATTATAACTTCTTCTCCTAACTCAATGGAACCACCAACAACAAATCCGTGCTATCTTCGGGTTGATGAACACAGTTGTGGGACTGGATTTTGAGTGAAAACAAAGAGAAAACACTAATGGCTAGGAGAAGACAATAGAAATTTGAGTGGAAAAATTATGCACTTATGCAAGAAAGTATTAGCCTTATCCAAGTGATCTTCATCACCTATATAAAGACCAAATGCATGCAAAGACAAGCCTTGCATGTCTTCCACTTCAAACTCCACTAGCATGTAAAAGATAGGTGTCATTGCTTTGAAGAAACACTTCAAAAACCACTAATTAGTGGGAAAATCCAACTTTGATAAAACTAATTTTTATAAAAACAAAAATTGAAATATCAATTTTCTATTAAAACAAAAACCAAGTCAAATCAATATCTCATATTAATTGGTCTTTGACACCTAAGCTTGATTAATCACATTAATCAAATTACAACTCTTTTTCATGCTTTGAACTTATTTAAAACTAATTTAAATAAGTCATACTCTCCATAATAATTAAATGTCAATTAGATTATATATTATATCTCATATAAAATACAATATTCCCTTAAAAACCGAATTTGAACACTTCAAATTCTTGCTTCACCTAGTTCATCAATTTTATCCTTTATGAGCTAGCATGGAGACCCGTTGGACCTACAGATCATGAGCTCCAACGATTCGAGACTAACCGGTCAAACTCTTTAACTTAGTTAATCAACATTCGTTAACTAACAGGACTGTCCACTATAGACTGTAGATGCACTCCCCTCACTGTAGATATATTTGTGTCCATTCGATATAACCGTCATCGGTAAGTTGATCCTTCACAGGTCGTTCGTAACCTCAGCTAGGTAAAAAAAATCGTTTTACCCCGGAGTTACATCTTTTCTCCTTAAGTACCACTATCCCTCTAATGAACAATTGATTTAGGATCAAATCACTAAATCCAATTCCTCTTGGGCCAGTGAGAGGATGAGGCCCCTTGTTCAAGACTCGGGATCAGGCCTTAAGGGAACAACCTCTCTACTATCCCTAAATCGGGAAGGAGTGAATTCTGTCTTGTTAATTCTATGTCCCCAGCTATCTACCCAGTCTTATCCCTGAAATGGGAGGCATATTGTGCAGCGCTGATGAGCTTATTTTCACCTATGCAGATCAAGGGAGAATCCTGAATAAATAGGAGTTCATAGATGGCTCAGGATTTAGGTCAAGTTATTTAGGTCATCGATAAACGAAAATAATCAGTGTTATCCGTAAACGGTGTTAATACGTAACAATGATTATTTCAGGGTCAGTCTTACACAATCTCATTGTGTAGAACACCCCCGCTCACATGTTTCTACACGAACGAATCAGGATTACTTCATTTATGACACCTTACAACATTTGTAACAATCATAAAGCGGGTCGTATTCAATAGTGTCTCCAGGAAAAATTACCCAACTTGATCCATGTACTATAGACTGTTTAGGCTATTTACTTGAACTTGATCCAGTTTATGTCTCCACATAAAGTCCAAGTACTCATTATAATAGCCAAGGGTTCGTAATTTATTGGATTTATTAAAAAAAAAACAAATTCACTTTCATTTAACAACATTTGTCTGAATAACCTCACATTAATGTTCACTGTTTAAAAACTACGAGTTTTAGGGCAGAGTACCCAACATGTCTGTCTCATAATATTTAGCAAATATTAAAGAAATTGCTGATAAGTTGCATCCATTGGTATATCCCTCAAAGATCATATTTCATATATTTTAGAAGGTATTGGGATTGAATATAATGCTTTTGTTCCTTATATACAAAATAGTTCTTATATGCCAACTCTTGAGGATGTGCGCACTTTGTTACTTGCTTATGATTACAAACTTAAAGAAACAAAGTTCGGTGGAACAATTAAATGCAGTTCAAGTGAATGTGACTAAATTCCAATCAAATCGACAATTTGGCCTTGCTGACTTTTCACATGGCCTTTGTTGGGGTAAATTTATCAAAAGAGCTTAAACTATAAGGTATCTCCTCCCAAAATCATCATTCAAAGGTCTTTTCTTAAAGGATGTGGTAAATGGTGTACTATATAATGTGCTAAATAGTGCACTAGAGGTTTCCTTATGGGATGCACTAAAAAATACACTAAAGTTGTGCGAAAAATGCGCTATATATGATGTCAGAGCTATTTTAGTGTGACATAGGGTAGAGATATGGTGGAAATAGTGCAACCACCATAGCCGCTTGTGTTGGGACACCTAAAAATCAGAACTATTTTGGACTAGAAACCAAACATCAGGTGTAATGGGCCAAACGAAAAAATGAAGATAGTCAGTTGAGTGCTAAAATAGTGCAACCAGCGTTATACAGCTGCAACGTTTTTAGCGCGACCAGCGCATAGCTTATAGTTTAGCCTCGACGTGAACGTCGAGAGTGCTAGTTGCACTATGGGTTGGGTTGGGAGGGAGATTTTAACTCATAAATTGTTTGGATGGAGGTTAATTACCGTCTACTTTGAAAATTTTCTTTCATAAAAAGGTAAACCTCTTTGGAAACAATTTTGGTATGTTTTTTTTATGGACATTTTATTTTTTGAGAAATATTAGATTTGGGAGCGTTGCGACTTTGATTTTATTTTTACCTCATTTTCTCATTTCCAGTCCGTGTCGCTCGTCCTGCTCAGTACAGGTAAACGCAAACTGAGCGGCTTGAGCTGTCTCAGCGACAATTTCACAATCGTTTCTGCGATTAATGATGGGTTATCATCGTAGATCTTCTACCGTCACTGCTAATCTCTGTAGCTTCTCCGGGAGATTCTCGATTCCAATGCGATTGCAGCTACTCTGTATTATTTTGCTGGTAACGTTCTATTACCATTTGTTTCCTCTCTGTTCTCAATACATTGGAAAATTCATGGTCAAGAATTTCCTTTGTCATCTGCTTCATTCGAGATTCGCTTAAGAATTTTTGTATTTGTTCCTTTGATTCTGTTTTTTAAAGCTATTTTGTTCATGAAGTTGATTCAACTCATTGGAGTTCAGTCGTATTAACGAGAAAGAAAACAGTAAACAAAAGGCAAGACTAAGAGACCCGAAATTGGCATAAGTATTCATGTAAAAGAAAATAGTACGAAGTACAACAATTCATGAAATTGCTTCGGTTCCAATTTGATGGGAATCACAATTGAAATTAAAATTAACAAAAAAAAAAAAACGAAAATAGCGTAGAAAAGTTCCAAGCATTTACTCTCCCCGAAGTTAATTCCATATTCATCCTGCCTTCAACCTCTTCATGCTATTGTATTTTAGTATTTATAATTACTTTTCTAACAAATTCCTTAGTGTATAACTAATATGCCCTCATAATATCCCAATATTTTCCTATTAGTATTCCCCACAGAGAGTTTTTTTTTTCCCCTTTCATTTACATGTACGTCATTACTGATGTATAAGCTTCTTCTATGGAGAAGGTCCATCAAAAAAGGCGTCAATGGTGAAGTATTATCATCTGATTAGCCTCACTACTCTGGTGTATAAAGTTGTGTCTAAAGTCTTAACACATAAAGATTAAAAGTGACAATCTTGTCTACTATTGGTCCTGCACAAAATGCTTGCATCAAAGGAAGAAATATTCTTGATTCAATTCAATATTAACTGCATATGAAGCTGTAAAAAATTACAAAAGTGGGAGAAAGAAGGCATGATATTTAAGCTTGATTTAGAAAAAAGATAGGATTGATTAGGATTTGTTGTTTCTGGTGCTTGAAAACAAGGGTTTTGGGTCTAGGTGAATTAAATGGATGAAAGAGTGTATTCAAATCATAATGGGGATTTAAAATACTAAGAGTTGCCCCACATTTGTTGTATTAAAAAAAAATCCTAGAAGTTTCTTTGGTAACCAAATATAGTAGGGTTAGATAGTCTCATGAGATGGATGAGCGTGCAAATTGACCTAGACGTTCATGAAGAAAATGTGTATTCAAGATACCAAATTTTTTTTTCTTAATGGAAGGCTAATAGGGAGAACTAATGCTTCAAGGGGAGTAAGACAAGGCAATCATCTTTATCCTTTCTTATTTTTTGTTGTGAGTGATGTTCTTAGTGTTTTAATAGAAAAAGGGTAGTGGGTTGATTGAAGGTTTGCTAGTGGGAAGAGAGAAGGTTCATGCCTCACATTTGCAATATGCGGATGATCTCGTGTCGTGTTGTGACAATGTGGAGGTTTATGTGGAGAATTTAATCAAAACAATCATAACTTTCTAAGGTGCTTCTGACTTAAAAGTTAATTGGGTGAAATGGACGGTTAGTAAAATCAGTATTGGAGTCCAGAGACAGAATCTTATGGCTCATTGGTTGGATTGTAAGAAGGGAGATCTACATATATTGTATTTTGGATAACCCCTTGGAGGCAATCTTAAAAAGTTTGAATTTTAGTTACTAATCACGGAAAAGTTTGGTAACAACTCGAGAGATGGAAGAACTCCTCGCTTTCAAAAGGTGGGAGATGAACATTGCGTATTTTGGTACTTTCTACCTCTTATATTATATTTCTCTTTTTATTATGCCAAGAAGTGCTGTAGAAATTTAGCTCTGTTAGATAGGCAGTGGGGGTGGAAAGGTGAAATATTTAGTATTTTGGAAATATGTTTGGATAGGAGAGTCTTCTTTCCAGATGTTTTTTCCAACATTTTTCTTGGTGCCTCAAATGCATGGTGGTTCAGCATTGGATTGTCAGAATTCTAATTCTATTCATGCAAAATTGTGGCAAGAAGAAAGCTAGTGGAGGATGGGTTTGCAGAGCTTTAAGGGTTTCAGAACTCCTAAATGAAGCAATTTTGGATTCATATAAAGGTAAAGGAATCTGGAAATTACACCCTGCAGGTGAGTTTTAATCTAAGTCCTTGGCAAGACTGAAGAGCAAAGTTTCATCATGATAGAACCAGAAAACCTTGGTTTAAGTCTAGTTGGAAGACCAAGAGCCCTAAAATAGTTAATATTTTTATTTGGTTGGTTCAGTTGGGTAAGCTGAAACGGAAGACAAAATACAAAATTCAATTAAAATGCTCTGCAGTGATCTTGAGTCTATCATTCTGTAGTTTATGTTTGTTGGCTGGAGAAGATCATTCATTTATTCTTTCACTGTGCCTACAATGGTAAGATTTGGGTGGAGCTTTTCAAGATTTTTAATCTATCTTGGTTGTTTAATAAACATAGAAGAACAACTGCAACTTCTTTATGGAGCATTGTTCAAGGACAAAGTTACTTTATTAATGCAAATTGTGGTCAAAGAATATTTGAAGATAAAGCACGGATTGGACTATCGGCTGGGATTACACTAAAAGCTATGCTTCTTGGACAAGTCAATTTTCTTGCTATTCCATCAATATGTCAAATCCAAAATGTTTTTTGGGCAACCCAAAAAATGAGGAAACAGGGAGAAAAATATCATATATATTTTTTTGAATGAAAAACCACGCTTTTGTTGAGAAGAATGAAAGAATACAAAAGAGCATATGAAAAGATAGCCCACCAAAAGGAGCCAATTAAAACAAGAAAGAGCTCCAATCTAATATGATCAAACCTAAAGAATAATTACAAAACACTTAGGACACTGAGGCCCAAAGAGAAGCATGAAACAGATCAAGGGCCATAACCTCCTCCTAATATCTCTCAACCCTCTAAAAATGATGTTATTTCTCTCACTCTAGAGCCCCCAGAAAACAGCGAAAAAACCACGTACACCACAAGAACTGCACTTTATCCCAAAACGGTGGGTGAAGGAGCTCCTCCAACATCGAAGTACACTCTTTAAAACAAGGGAGATAAATCCCAAAAGCTTTAAACAGACAAGTCCAAGCTGAGCTGGCAATTCGAAAGAAAAATATTACATTAATTATTAAATAAAGCTCCATACTTCTCAATCAAGTGAAATGTATCTTAAAAAATTCTATTGCATTTAGATCATTTCCCAAGAAAAGGCAACTGCCCCATCCAAACTTGCCCTAGAACTTTTTTTTTAATATGGCAAGAAAAGTAATTAACCACTCCGTCCAAAAAGTTTGATTAATATTAATGTTGCAGCACTTCCAAAATTCTATTGGATAATTCTGGTCTGCTTGGGCATTAGTTAGAAGACACAGCATTGAATGAGTTTCCAACAGTTTGGTCTGCGTCACCTAAAACATTGATGATCAAGTTAGTTCTTTCCATAATAGGAAAGATAATAACCTCTGGGAACCAGTTTGTATGTTAACTTACAAATATATTTGTATTAACTTCTTTCATTTGCTTCATTAGCTATTAGCAGCGAGACCGGCTGCATCTTCCTCTGGGAATCGCAAAAGTGGAAAGTCATCTGTATTCTCCTTGTTTAACCTTAAAGATAAGAGTAGGTTTTGGAGTGAGACGGTCATACGTGGTGGTATGCCATCCTTTCTTATCTTTGTTACCTCAAAGCTTTTATATGTTCACTTATCAAGGTTATTGCCAATGAGTTGCTTTTTCTGTACGTTTTTTTGACTCATTGTTTATTCGTTTGTTTAGATTTTGATGATCTGGAATCATCCAGCACTGAGAAAATGAGTGCTGTTAACTACACGAAGGCAGGTAATTGAATGCATCAAATTAGTATAATGGTAATTGAATGTATCAAATTAAAGCTTCTTAGTGGTGTTCATTTTCTCCTCTGTTCAAGTACTTTGCTTCAGGCACTATTTGCGACTCTTGGAATGCTTTTATATTCCCCCCCAATTGTTGTTCTTTTTTCATTTTTCATTTTTCATTTTGCTTTCTTTTGCTTTCTTTTTATTTTAAAATTTTTATTTTTTAACAAGATATGAACTTTTTATTGATATATGAAAAGATACACAAAAAAAGTTCAAAGATACAAACTCCCATGGGAGTGAAAGTGACAAGAAAAGAAATAAAGGAAATTGCAATTCAAGTCAAGTTTTCTCAGGAACTCAAAGATATATTCCCAGAAGATAATGTTGGCGATTCCGAATCTAAAGAATCTTCTGATTGAGTCCTCACATCTTGGTGGATGGTTTTGTTTTACAGTTAGCTCGATATTATGTTTTTGTTTTTTTCTAAAGAACCTATTATATGATTTTGTTTTTTCTTTTTTTCTCTCTATCCTCTGGGAGTTTGTATTCTTGAACTTTTTCTCCATTTCATATATCAATGAAAAGTTGTTTCTTGTTAAAAAATTAAAAATTAATGCAAAAGGAAAGCATCCCATGGTATAAAGATAGATTTAGAGGAATAATCTTTAAATAGAGGTTGAATCAAGCACCAAAAAGATGCCTTGTATTTAGCTAGGTCAAAATATTCGAACCAATCTCATTTCTTGTCTTCGAAAAGCTGTTGGTTTCTTTTGCTTTGTTCTTTCACTCCTTCGGAAGTTTTTATCTCTGAACTTGTTTACTTATTTTCATTCATCAATGAAAATTTTTGTATCTTGTTAAAAAAAAAAGTATAAGGGTTTCATTTGTGTAAATGTAATTATCGTGAGAAATGGGTCTTTGTTCCTTTGTTATGTTTCTGTTACGCTAGTCGCTTAGGGCATGGGAGTGAGTATATGTGAAGAAGAGTGCATCAGGGAGGTAAACAAATTTGAATTTATACTGGGGTGAAACTATAGCTAGCCTCTCCAAAAGCTTGGGATACTTAAGTCTCTCCCTTTGGGAGTTTGTATCCTTGAACATTTTCCTTCCTTTTCATATATCAACGAAAAATTTGTTTCTTTTTAGAAAAAGCTTGGAGTACTTAATGAAATAGTCCTACATTCATTTCCTCAGTCCTTAGTCCTAGCAATCCAGCAACACTGGTGGATTCATGCCAAATAGAGAGCCATTTGTAATGTCTTCAACCTTCATTTGGAAGATAGCTCACTCTGCACACTTTTATTCATAATCTTGATATTGATACATTAATTTCCTTTTCTGTGTTTCTTCTTATAATTAATGTTCAGAAAGTTTGTAAATCTTCATTTTGTGGGGTATGGTTTTGGAGGGAGATCTTTTAGCTCCTTGGTTGCTGAGTTTAGAGCATTTTTTATTTTTATTTTTTTTCTTAAATCTCTCTAGAAAGTTTCTGTTATCCCGGAAGAAATGTGTGTTCCAAGGTGCAAATATTTAGAACTGGAGTTGGTGTGGTGTAAAATATCTTTTGTATGTCATTTCGAGCTTCAGTGACAAGGGCATTGTATTATATGTTTGTTACTCATTTCAAATAATTATTAGTTTTGGTAATCTCCCGATCCTTTATGGATCTATGTTCAACCTCATTATTTTCTACATATCCGTTCTTCAATAAAATTTCCGAAGTTAAATATCTTGAAGCCTGTACTGTGATATGGTGCGAGAACCAATAGAATGACAAAGCAACATTAGAAGTCTGTTTTTCATGTTCATCTTCCATTGTAGGTAACATAGCAAATCACTTGAAGCTTCTTGAAGTTGATTCCCTGTACCTTCCAGTCCCTGTGAATTTCATTTTTATAGGATTTGAAGGGAAAGGTAACCACGGTATGTAATGTTCCTGATTGCAAATTTATATTACGGTTGAAATTTTAGCTTTGGTTATGAATTCTTATGTGGATGGTCTAAGAGTTTTCTTTATTCTTAGAATTCAAGCTGCATCCAGAAGAGCTTGAACGTTGGTTCTTGAAACTGGATCATATCTTTGAACATACACGGATTCCACAAGTCAGGGAGGTGCTTACCCCTTTTTATAAGATCAGTGTGGACAAAGTTCTGAGGCACCAACTACCCCTTGTCAGTCACATAAATTACAAGTAATGCTGTACTGGTACTTCGTATAATGTGGGAGCAGGAGTTGACATGCTTCTTTGAGAAAGTCAAATTTCTTATTTTATGTTTGTCATAAGTTAGTAAATGACTATTTAGCTCATGTCTAAAAAGTTTGAAATGATATCCTTAGTGTTCTCAAGAAAAGGTTCTTGTTGAAATTTTGCAGTTTCTCTGTTCATGCAATACAAACGGGCGAGAAGGTTACTTCAATATTTGAGCTTGCAAGAAATGTATTAGCTCGCAAGGAAGATGTATCCAGTAATGGGTAAATATAATACTATTATTAGTTTTATTGTTTATTGTCTCACTAGATCATTGCCGAAGCTATTGAGCAACGTCGGATTTGGTTTTATTTATGCTGTTATTGTAACTCATGGTTACAGGGATGGGGATGATGCTCTTTGGCAAGTAGATGTGGACCTGATGGATGTACTTTTCACTAGCTTTGTGGAGTACCTCCAACTTGAAAATGCTTATAACATTTTTATTCTAAATCTCAAACGTGATGCAAAAAGGGCTAGATATGGATACCGGTGTGTAAATTTCTTAACAACTTTTTAATGAATTTTTGTTTGTTTACGTTGATTCTTTTCTTGACTCTATTACTCGAGATTAACAAGACAATTGACCCCTCAGTGATGAAAACAATTTTATTATGGTCCATCTTGAATAGTCTTGAAATATGCTATGCTGCTGTCTTCTTCACGGGGAGCCAGTATCAGTTCAAAGATTTTCAAGCTGATATATATTTGCAAATTGCAATCTGATCTTAGTGTCTCTTATCCAGAAAATCAAATCTGTAGAAAGTTTACAACCATGTTTATGGGACTTGCTACCGAGGGATTAGACAAAAGAGGCCCCTCCTTTTTTTTTTTTTTAAACAAGATTCGAACTTCTAAAGACAGAACAGACCCTTTTTCTCTTTCCTTTTTATTATTGTGGTGGATGTAATGGTTTGATAATGGGAAAGAGCAGAGATTGGATTCCTTTTCCAAAAGGCGATATCAGGTTCAAAGGACCATGGATGCAAATTTCTAAATGCTGTATGGAAGCAGGTGGTACAATTGTGAAGTTGGAAGAGGGGATAAGGTTCTGTTTTGGAAAGACCGTTGGCTTTTAAATGTGCCCATCAAATCAGCTTTCCCAAGGCTTTATAGAGGGAAAACTCAAAAGATCTCCTTGTTTCTCAAGTCTGGTCAGACTCTTTCACGTGTTGGGATTTGAAATTTAGAAGAAACTTCACTGATTTAGAGACTGAAGATTGGGCATCTCTTTTTAATGTGCTCTTAAACCTTTATATTACAGGGTCTGAATCTGATGATAGGAAAAGGTGGATGCTTGAGAGAGATGACGCTTATTCAGTCAATATAGCTCAAAGTTATGTGCGAACTGTGAAAGGAGTAGTAGGCCCCTTATGACACCGTTTGGCAAGTGAAAGTTCGTAAGAGGTAAAAGTTTTTCTGTGAATCCTTGCCTTGGAAAAATTAAACACCAACGATTAATTCCAAAAAGGATTAAGGATTTCTTAATCGAGCTTTATCTCCTAGTTGGTGTGTGATGTGTAAGAGGAAAAGGGAGGATAGTCAGCACCTGGTTTTCTCCTGTTTGTTACTTCTACTTGATGGAATTCTCTTCTCGGTTGTTTCAACCTGTCATGAGTATTCCCGAAAAATGTCTCTGATGGCTTGCTTCAGCTTATCCAGGGAACTCATTTTGGTGGCCAGGCTAGAATCATTTGGTATAATGCTGTGGTGGTCCTCCTTTGGAAGCTTTGGGCTGAGAGGAATAGGAGGATTTTTCAAGAAGAATCGCCTAGTGACGATTTTTGCAATGTGGTTAAATATCATGCTTCTATTTGGTGCTCCCTTAACAATGATTTTTGTAATTATGGTTTTTCTCTTATTTATGCCAATTGGGAGTCTTTCTTATAATCCTCTTGGCTCTTCGGGGATATCTTTATCTCCATCTTTTGTACATCCTATTTTGATTAAAAAAAGTTTCACCCCTTAACCAAAAAAAAAAAAAAAAGATTAAGGGAAAGAGCTGTACTTGATCAGTGGACATTGGAAGTATGAGGATCTGTATTGTTTGTATGTATATTGTAGATGATTTGATCTTTTTGTTTGAGAGATGAAGAGAAGATCTCTCATGCTCTCAAAGTGAAACTGTGGAGTTGTTTGAGGCTGGTCAAGGGATTCAAATAGTTTTTTAGCCGGTAATTATTCATTAAAAAGGGAATATTATTCCCACATCCTGTTCTTGCAGAATTAGTTACAGAGAGAGTTGAAAGGAAGGCCCCAAGGGCCAGCTTAGTTGGCAAGGACTTGGGGCCTCTTAGCCATAATGGCTTAAAGGTCTCAAGTTCGAACTTTCTAGTGAGCTTAATATAAAAAATCCTTGATGTCTAACGGATTCGGGCCCTGGGGTGGGCGTGGATGCCTCTGGGTAAAGGGGAGCAAAACTCTGACTCCCAGTTATTAAAAAAAAAAGAAAGTGAAAGGAAGCTAGAAAAGTGGTGTAAGTTGTCGTTATTAGATGGTGGGAGATTAACTTTGTGTCATTCAATTTTAGGGTTTTTTTTTTCTTTTAAATTTTTTATAAGAAACCGAACTTTTCATTGAGTCAAATGAAAACTTAAAACATATAAAGGGCATACAAAAACAAATGTCCAGAAGGAGGTCATTCAGTTTTAGCTTATTTCTCTTCCTATTTTCTGTCCACTTTTAATATGCGAAGAAAGGTCAGTGATTCTTGAAAGGATGATGAGAAATTTTATATGAAGTTCGCTTCTTTGTCTACTGAAAATGGGGGACTAGGGGGTAAGAACAAAGCATTCTTGAGTAAATGGTTATGGAGGTTCATAGATGAGTCGATCGGATATGACATATTGTACGTCTGTAGCATTTATGGTCAGCAAAGTGGTGAATGGTTTACTTGTAGTGGGGAAAAGGGAAGGAAGGAGGCAGTGGGGTATAATTGTCAAATTAAAGGAGCTGGTGTTCAAGCATTTTATGATAAACATCGGGAATGAAGGAGTTAAATTTTGGAAGATAGTTGGGTGGATGACTTCCTGAGTTACCGTTGGCTGTCTAGTTCCTAAGATTTTATAGGGTGGTGGAACCAAAATTCAGTCTAATAAGTAATTTATGGGACTCAAGAACAAATGGATGATGCACACAAAAGTTTGTTGGAGGATGAGAAAAATGCATTACAGTCTATTTTGGATATTATGAGAAATCATGTATTCTTCAATTTTATTGGAGCTAGGAGAAAGATTTTACGTTAAATCTACGGGACTTGGAACAAATTTATGGAGTATAATTGCACAGAGAAGTTTGTTGGAAGAGGAGCAAATTAGTTGCAGTCTTTTTTTGGATATACTGAAAAATCAGGCATTCTTCGATTTAGATGGGGTTGATAACAGAGTTTGGTTATTGGAGTTCTGCTAAATCTCTGTCTAGAAGGCTGAGTGGCAAAAGCTGTGGTCTGGAAGTAGGGCTACGTTCCACAATTTGGAAAGAAGTTGCTCTATGAAAGTAAAATTTTTTGTTTTTGTGTTTATAACTCCTCAGTAGCATTTATCTTGATTCTTGGAGTTTTTTGTGTTTCTTGCTATTGTGTGAGGAATTTCCTCACTGAACTTCTTGGAATTTACTCAAAAGAGCCCGTAGGCGTCACAGAGGCACCCCACCAATTCGAGAGGGTGGGTAACTCTCCTTACAGACAAACTATCACTGAAAACCAAGACGCCTCTCTCTTACTCAGTAGGGGAATATTTCTACCCAATCCCCAAGCAGCCCCAAGTCAGGGAATTGTCGAGCCAAATCTTGCATAGGTTCCCACATAGCGTTGTCAGGAGGAAGCCCTTTCCAGCTGACTAGAGCTTCAGCCACTTCGGTGTCTTCATTAATTCCAGCTGCAAAGATCTCTTTTGGAATAGCCTGCCACTCCAAGTCTGCATTTAAGTAGGGAGGGATGTGTTGTACCTCTGTTAGTGTTCCCCGAGCTGGTTTCAGCTGTGATATATGGAAAATCGGGTGTATAGTGGCATCAGCAGGCAGGGCCAAACGGTAGGCTACCTTCCCAATCCGTTCAGTGATTTCATAGGGGCCAAAAAACTTGGCTAAAAGCTTCTCGTTTCTTCGTTTGGCTAAAGACTTTTGTCGGTAGGGATGAATTTTCAGGGAGACCTTGTCCCCCACAGCAAACTCCCATTCTGTCCGTTTCTCATCAGCATATTTCTTCATTCTTCCTTGTGCTCGAGTCAAATTCTCTTTGAGCAAAGCCAATGCTTGATCTCTCTCGATCAATTGTTGGTCAAGTGTATCATTAGCGGTACGAGATGTACCATAGCTCAGCAATGGGGTGGGGTCCTCCCATACACGGCTTGAAATGGTGACACTCCCAAAGATCCATGGAAAGTGGTATTATACCAATATTCAGCCCATGATAGCCAATTTCCCCAAGTTCGAGGGGACTCACCACAGAAACAACGTAGATACGTTTCCAGATACTTATTGACGATTTCTGTTTGTCCAACCATTTGTGGATGGTAGGCCGTGTTTCGTCTCAATTTGGTACCTTGCAATCAGAATAACTCCGTCCAGAAGTGACTAAGGAACACTTTATCTCGATCCGAAATAATGGACTGGGGAAAGCCATGTAGTCGAACCACCTCCTTAACGAATGCTGCTGTTATGGTCTTGGCTGTAAAAGGGTGGCTCATAGGGATAAAGTGAGCATATTTGCTCAATCGGTCAACAACCACAAAAATAGTATGATTTCCCAGCGATCTAGGAAGCCCCTCTACAAAGTCCATCGTAATATCTTCCCAGATTCTATTGGGTATGGCCAGGGGTTGTAGAAGTCCAGATGGTGCCATAGCAAGAGTTTTGTTGTGTTGACATACCCTACATTACTCCACAAATTTCTTCGTATCTGCTTTCATTCTTTGCCAGTAGAGCTCTCCGCACATTCGCTTGTAAGTTCTCAAAAATCCAGAGTTTCCCCCCACGACCGTATTGTGGTAGAGATGTAGGATAAGTGTGGATGTTTTGGACAACACCATTCTATTCTCGTACCGTAGTTCCCCTTGCTTCAAGCTGAATTTAAGGTGGCTGTCAGGGTCCTGTTGGAGGTCTGTTATAATTCTAGCTAGGTATTCGTCACCTTGAACTTCATTTCTGATTAAGCTCACATCTAGAAGTGTGGGGGCGGATAGGACAACTAGATAAAGCCCCGGAGCCATGCGAGACAAGGAATTTGCGGCTTTGCTTTCAAGACCGGGCTTGTACTGAATTTTGAAATCATAGCCTAACAGCTTCGAACCCATTTTTGGTACTCTGGCTGCACTATCCTCTGCTCTAGGAGGTACTTCAGAGCCTGTTGATCGGTGCGGACAAGGTGCTTCAGAGTGAGGGGTGGCCAAGGTGCCATAATTGATAACGAATTTCCTGTAATACCCCGTGAAGCCAAGGAAGCCTCTCAATTCCCGTACATTGGTTGGGATTGGCCACTGCAACATGACCTGAAT